GTTGTTAGATTGAATGACCAAGAGATCAAAATATAGATATAAGAGCGCTTTTAAGAGGACTTCTCTATTCTAGAGGAGGATCTCATTGAAACATGCGTCTTCTCAGAGTAGCTCGTAAGCTGGGAATATCCTATAACATTTCATCTTCTCACACGTCGCCAACTGATTCAGGAACGCGTCAAGGACTCCGCCAAATAGAAAGTGTAGGTCTTTTATTCCAAGGAAGATGATGTAGAGATCAAATGAAGCCAAGCAGTCTACTGATTTCGACAAGATAACTGCCGAATTGGCTGCGATTGGACGCAAAACAGGTCTCATAACTTGGCAGGGTGGCAAGCTTCATCAATTGCAAAAGGTTGCTAAACTACGAGAACGACGAGATAAGGAAAATAGGTCACGTGATCGGAAGGTTATTTGTCTGAAGTGAAGCTTCCGTTTGAATATTATAACGAACAAACGTATACTCCAACGGCAGAACCCAGCCCATAATCCCAACCAAGTCCTTTAAAACAGCATGAGGCGGCGGACCATGGAAGCGCTACCATGGAGTAATAGATATCTTGCTAAATAGATCGACACCCTTTCCCCTTTGAACAGGCAGTGCCCGATTTTTGGAGGTAGTTGGGAGAGACGGGCACAGTCAAGTTCTTCTGTTGGTAACCCGTGCGTTAGGTTGGGATTCTTAAACGGGGGAGGAGGGGTTAGGAAAGTGTTAAAGCACTCTTTGCAGGCTTCCAAGCGTCAATATATGTCTCTGATGTGAGTTCGTCTATCCATGGATCCATGCAACCATTATTCTCACGTAGTTAGAGTGTTGTTGACTCACCCATGCTTCTTTTCCCGATGTGACGAACAGTGAACTCCTTCAAGGTTGCATCTTCATCCTAGTTGTTAAGGCCCCAAACTACGACCTGACTGATCGGCAATGGCATATGCACTGTATCTATGAGGGAATTTATCCTTCTGTAGCTAGTACAAGACAAAACAGGTAAAGTATTTGTGTATGTTGATAGTTTTTCAGCTAGCTATAAGGATAGTGGAATATATAGAAGCAGAGTTAGGATAATGACAAACATAATATATATTATAATAGTTTAGCCAATGAAAACCAAAGAAATGGTATGCGATGCGGTGGTATGCGAGTGACGATGCGTAAACTGAGTCAATAAATACAAGGTAGGTGGGATGGATAATTTATGGACAAGAAGGCATAAAAAGAAAAAGAAAACAGCAACATATAGACAACAATCTTATAAATCAAAACGCTTTCCACACTATTAACTTGAAGTAGGGCGAATAGGATACCGTGCCTTGTCTCTGCTGTATGGTAAATTCTTTCGGTATCGTTATACCTTTGCTTGCCTGGAGAATTTGACAAAAAAAAAAGCTGCAAATTTCCGACTGTATGGATAGCAATGATGAATGAAGGAGGAAATGGATAGAAGATAGATGAAATACCACCATAAACAAGGAACAGGAGAAAAGAACTCGTAAAGAAAATACCAACCAAGAATGCATGCACGCTGGAATTGACAACAAAGGGAATGAAAGGAGAATTCCCCTGAGATGACAATAAAGTTATGGGGAATACTCCAAAGCCAACATCACTCGAATTGAAATTGCAAAGTGATGAATGAGAAAGAAAAAGAATAGCAATAACTTATCTCTTCCTTCCAACCACAGTCACACAAACAAACACGGATATCATTTATCCCATTCCACCTCAAATCTTCGGAGATCTAGGCGTTGACCCCGCCCTACTCCGATTTCCCTTTTTGGCACCAGCTGATGCCGAGACATTCGAAGAGCCAGACACACTCCTTACACTTGGGCTTCCACTTGCTTCCAACAGCGCAGAACCGTTGGGGGCAATCATGGACGAAGAGCTACCGAGGCTGCTATTGCAACCAATCCCCTCCCCGGAAGCGGGCAGGGATTTAGAACTGACCAGGCTTCCACCCCCACCCCGGGCTACACCTGCGACATCATTGCTATTACCGTTGCCATTGCCATTGTTGTTGCTGTTGTTACTAGTGCTAGGGCTGGCGATGACCTTCCCGTTCCCGCTCGTGGCGATATTTGGCTGTGATTTCCTTTGTTGGGGAACGACAGTTTCCGGCTTCCCGGCATTAGCGAGTTCAGGCGTTGTGGTTGTTGTTGATGTTGTGGTTGTTGCCACGGGAGCATGATGTGGATTCTGTTGCTCGTCAAACCTTCGCCATTTGCGCCATCCTTCAAAGTCGATGAGGGCCTGCATGCATCCCCATTCGGTAACTTTTTGTTCTAGCCAGACGATATTGACGGGCTGGATTTCCATTTTTGGGTTATTATGGATACTTTCAAAACTGGATATTTGGGAGGGGAAATATAAAAAACATTGGAATGTAGTTTTAACGACGAGGGGACAAGGAGAGAAGTAAGCACTCACCTTTGTTAGGAAATCATTGCAGCCTGCAGCTAGAGCTTCATTTCGATCACTCTGCAAACTGCTAGCCGTCAGCGCAACGATGATGACAGGACTCTTAAATGCCTCTGGATTTTCCAATTTATCCTCCGGCCTCAGGGGTTCGAGGAGATGATCATTATTATTTCCAGCTTTGCCAGGTAAGTTCCGCCCCGATACCGATGAGCCCTTCAACGACTGGCCAGAAACTGTCCTCGGGAAAACTCCAATGTTGTTAAGCCGTTCGTATCTCCTGATTTCCTTCGTAGCTTCAAGACCACCCATTATGGGCAATTGAATATCCATCAGGACCAAATGGAATCCCCCGGCGCGCCATTTGTTAACTGCCTCACGCCCGTTCATTGCGGTTGCCCACCGCACCTTGAGTCGTTTCATGAATGCTTCCAGGAGTTTGAGGTTGATAATGTTATCTTCCACAATTAGAACGTTAATGGGAGGTACTGTGCCATCTAACAG